TGTTGATCTCTCCCAGCCGTGTGCGATGCCCCCTCCAGCATATTCCACCTCGGTCATATCGTAGAGGTGCTTAGGCGAAGCCCTGCGTCGGTAGCATCATCATCACCATCATTACGCCGTTGTGCTGACGAAACTCTCCCGTGAAGCTCTACTGGATCGGAGTTCGTGGGACGTCATCGAGCTGAACGTGTGCTGAACTCGGAGGTGCCCTGCTTTCGGTACTTGGATCGGCCGGATCGTGAAGACGTACGACTACATCAACCACGTTGTGCTAACGCTTCCGCTTTTGGTCTACGAGGGTACGTAGACGACACTCTCCCCTCTCGTTGCTATGCATCACCATGATCTTGCGTGTGCATAGGAATTTTTTTGAAATTATTGCGTTCCCCAATACTATCATGCATGTCAATGAGTTGCCAAGCTTGACGTGCTAGGAGTGCTTGATTAAATAGCTTGTAATCACGGAATCCAAGAACACCTTTGCACTTCGGCTGCAGCAAATTATCCCAAGCCTTCCATTGCACTTTCCTGCAGCCATTTTTAGAACCCCAATAGAAATTTCTAACCATCCTTGTTAGATCATCAAAACTGAAAACGGAAGTTTGAAGACACCCATTATATAAGCAGGGAGAGCTTGTGCGACTGATTTTATTAATACCTCTCTACCAGGTCGAGATTAGGATTTGTCACTCCGTATATCGGAGAGGTATCTCTAGGCCCTCTCGGTAATGCACATCACTATGAGCCTTGCAAGCAATGTGACTAATGAGTTAGTCACGGTATGATGCATTACGGAACGAGTAAAGAGACATGCCGGTGACGAGATTGAACTAGATATGATGATACCGACGATCGAATCTCAGGCAAGTAACATACCGATGACAAAGGGAATGACGTATGTTGTTATGCGGTTTGACCGATAAAGATCTTCGTAGAATATGTAGGAACCAATATGAGCATCCAGGTTCCGCTATTAGTTATTGACCAGAGATGAGTCTTGATCATGTCTACATAGTTCTTGACCCCGTAGGGTCCGCACGCTTAACGTTCGATGACGAGATGTATTATGAGTTATGTGATTTGATGTACCGAAGGTTGTTCGGAGTCCCGGATGTGATCACTGACATGACGAGGAGTCTCGAAATGGTCGATACATAAAGATTCATATATTGAAAGGCTACATTCGGACACCAGAATTGTTCGGGTCGTTTCGGATAAGTTTCGGAGTACCGGGGTTACCGGACCCCCCCCCCCCAGAAAGTTATGGGCCTTAGTGGGCCTTAGGGGAGAGAGAGGGACGCAGCCAGGAGGTGGTGCCCCCCCCCCAAGGGGAGTCCGAATAGCACAAGGGGAGGGGGCGCGACCCCTCATTCCCTCTCCCTCTCCCTCTCCTTCCTTCTTCTCCTAGTTGGACTAGGAAAGGGGGGAACCTACTCCTACTAGGAGTAGGATTCCCCACCTTGGGCGCGCCCCTTGTGGTCGGCCCTCCTCCTCCTCCCCTCCTTTATATACGAGGGAGGGGGCACCCCATAGACACACAAGTTGATATTTAGCCGTGTGCGGTGCCCCCCTCCACAGTATTACACCTCAGGCATATTGTCGTAGTGTTTAGGCGAAGCCCTGCGTTGGTAACTTCATCATCACCGTCAACATGCCGTCGTGCTGACGAAACTCACCCTCGGCCTCAGCTGGATCAAGAGCACGAGAGACGTCACCGAGCTGAACGTGTGCAGATCACGAAGGTGCCGTGCGTTCGGTACTTGATCGGTTGGATCGCGAAGAAATTCGACTACATCAACCGCGTTACTTAACGCTTCCGCTTTCGGTCTACGAGGGTATGTAGACACACTCTCCCCTCTTGTTGCTATGCATCTCCTAGATAGATATTGCGTGATCGTAGGATTTTTTTTTGAAATACTGCGTTCCCCAATAGTCCAAAGCTCCCTTCACTTTTAATGCTTGCTCCTGTGTAGCTTCAAAGAAAAGTAAGGTATCATCCGCAAATAGCAAATGTGAGATCCCTTGTACTCTTATACATATTTTTATGGGTGTAATATTCCCAACATTGATCTCATGCTTCAAAATGGCAGATAGACCGTCAGCCACAAATAAGAATAAGAACAGTGATAATGGGTCACCTTGTCGTAGCCCTTGCGAAGGTGCAAATGAATCTAAGATGGTTCAGTTTAATTTAACTGAATACCTCACCGACGTGACACATGCCATTATCTGGTCCACCCATCGACGAAAGAAACCCAACTTTTGCATCATTTACTTCAAGAATACTCAATCAACTCTATCATATGCTTTTGTCAGGTTCAGTTTATAAGCATAAAAACTCTCGGTAGGATCCTTTTCCTGCTTAATGTGATGAATGCACTCGAAGGCAATGAGTGCATTATCCATTATCATCCTCCCCGAAATAAAGAATTGCAGGAAATCAAGGCAGGGTCCCACCTAGCCCTATCAAGATGACCATGCACCCAACAGCGACTTCCATGCTCAGGCTAAGGGGCCGTTGGCCCACACGCCGGCCTCTTCCAGCGCGAAGATGTCCTACTAAACCGGGCGTAAACTTAAACAAGATATAGATACAAAATCATAAACCTGCAGACATTTCTTACGGGGCATAATCCCCTACTAAACCTCCTAATAATCTCCGATGAGTCCTAGTGCTATACAATCAAATAACATCACGTGAGACTGTAATTAGCAACCCGTAACTAACCTTCCGAGTGTGGCATTGCTCCTAAAGACAACCCTTACCGCATCACTTGTTAGAATAAAAATCTTAAAACCTAAAATTTGACATGTTTGCAGAGCAATGCTACACGAAAAGATTCTGAAGGACCCTTATGATTAGGTATTCTTTTCCCCAGATCAGGCAGATAATTACGGGATTAACGGGGATGCTTACTTGTAGAAGTCCGTAATTTTCGGTTTGCAATCTACCAAATGGCAAGCAAAGTCGTGTATCAAAACCCAAAACAAAATAACACTTGCAACATAGCCGGCAAAACCGAAATAACACCAGGGCATTTCGTCAACCAAAATCTGAACCCTCGGCCGACTGTCTGCCGTGCCGTGCCGTGCCGCCGCGCCGATTCCCAGCAAGATATAGCTGCGTGCGATCTCATCTGGTCTAGACAAAACGAACTAGGCTTTCTGATACGCCGGCCGCCGGCCGATCAGAGCCGGGTTGACCATACGCCGCATAGTATGTGATAGATATTCAGCCTCGTCGCAAGATTCACAAACCCCATTACACTATCGATCGTATCCTCTCGCCCAAAAGCGACACGGGATTCAGGACCACATCGCGGCAGCTTCTCGCTACTTCTGGGCTCCATAATTTTATGCGTCGATCGGCCCGTCCGCCAATGGCGAATCATGAGTGTCCCTGCCCTGTCCAGGCAGAAAATTACAATGGAAATAGGGCTCGCAAGTTGCATCTAAACAAAGGGGAATAGCGAACTTTCGTCGAAAACAAGCAAGTAAACTCTATCTAGCCAGGCAGTCTCCTGGTTTAACTCATCTCATTCTCTCCTCCTTGTGGATCCCTAGGATCCTTCCTTAACTAACAAAGACCACATGCCAGCAGCCAATCTCAAAACAGCCACACATGCCTGCTGTCGGTGCTGTAGTGTACTTGTACACTGCTTCTGAGCTGAGGCGCTGTGTATGGATGGAAAGATGGCATTGTGGAAATGCCGATTTCCCGGTTCAAGTACAAAATCGACAAGAAAGAAAAATGAGATTCTAGTTTTTTTTCTTCTTCAGTTGTGGATCATATGTAAGTGCTATAGGTTACTTGTTGCACCAGATTTTAGGAAATGCACCACATTGCACCAGGTTTTACACCCCCCAGTCCTGATTTGGGCTCGGTTCAACCCTTCGACTTGAGTGTTTTTTCATAGTTCTAAAAATGTGGATCAGCCAGCCATGTGTTTTAGACAAATACATGGTCCATCATGCATGGAATATACAGTAGTACTACTCAAAGGTATTCAAAATCCAGCTTGTTTTGGGACAAGCAAATGATGAGAGTGGGCATTTTCCCAATTTTTACCAGATACACTATGTACTGCTGTACTTTGCAATGGACTCGTATTCAATTGACACATCGGCCTTTGCCAAAGGTGCACAGCGTTGCTTGGCGCCCACTCATGTGTACCTTTTTTTCCAGAGTTGGCACGGGCGCACACGAATGTGCCGGGGACCTGCCCCTGATCCAAATGCCAATGGAGATTTGGGATCGATGCAACCCCCGGCTCCAGGCCGGCTGGCCTTCCGTTTTCGGCCGCTTCTCATGTTCCGAGTACCCTAGTTGCTGTACCGTTTCTGTCCATTCATGGCACATACTTTCATTGCACCATGTTCCACCATGATCTTGAGATCGACCACATTGATTGATTAGACTAAGATAAAGTGCACATGAGGTTTTACTTTGCTTCACTTCACTAATTAGTAGGAATTACTGCAACATCTAGTATCCCACAGAATGGAAAGGAATTTATATATAAGGGGAGTATACATGGAACATGGATATATCAGACCTCTGAAACAAAAATCAAAGGGAGTAATCCCTCAAAAAGAAAGGAAGGAAAGAGGGAGTAAGACTAGTTAAGCTGAAAACTGATTCCTCCTATGAACAGCAGATCAAATCTTGGCTTGTCGACCCGTTCGTTCAGTGCAACACCCTGGCGCATTCCATCATATGTCCTCCGCCTCATCGATTTGGCGTTCAACACGTCGTTCAACATATATCACCGGGATCATTACAGCGTCGATGGCATTATAATTAACATCCGTGTAATCTGCAAAATTTTACACCATCCAAAATTCAGCAGTTGGCACGATAACTCTAACTGTTGATGTTTGAAGGTCTTTAGGGTTAACTGATTCGTCCATGCATGCAATTTGATAGTACTATGCGTATCAGTTATAGAGCTTACCATTTCACATCATAATGATCTTGACCTTGTGTGTCAGCTATCGCTTTACACCTCTAGAACAATGACTGCAAAAAAGCAAGAAATTACACATAAGTCCATGCTTATTATTAAGTACTACGTCCGCAAAGAAACGATTCGATTTTCCTGCATGCATGGGTCTGATTACACATGAGTGCAAAGTAGTAGTCATTCTAGAGATTTTAATATGGACTACATACAGATGTATATAGACGTAGTTTAGAGTGTAGATTCACTCATTTTGCTTTATATTTAGGAACGTAGGGAGTAGTTAAGTCTGAAGTGAAATTAATCAACTCTGGAAACTTACAATCTGAATCTGTTTTGTCCCACTTGAAGACATCTTCTCCGTAGTCATCCTCCTCCTCGTCGTGGTGACCATCCATTTGGATCCTTCCCATTGGTTTGTCCTCCAGGTAATACTTCCTCGACGACGATGCCGCGTTGCTCTGGCGCGGGGCGCTCATCTTCTTTTGAAGCATCGTCTTAAACAACTACACATACACAACAAAAGTTAGGAAAACACACATTATTATTGCATGATCGCCCATGCATAAAAGAAACGTAATAATAAAACCTAGCTAGCTATGTGAACACTGGTTATTAAGATCTGCATGGTAATATATGTATATATCGAATATCACATGTGTGTTACCTTCTCTAGTTTTGTTTCGACTGGATCCTTGAGGCTGGGCTGCGGCGGGAAGCCGCCCCGGCAGGCGAACATGTTCTTGAGGAGGAACTTGAAGGACTTCTGCTTGACGCCCCCGCCGTTGCCGTTGGTGCTGACGAGGAGCTCCCTGGCCTTGCTGAGTATGATCTGCGTGTCCGGCGAGAACTCCCCGTTCTGCCCGCCATCGGCGCCCTGCAGCCTGAGCGAGAGCCGCCGGTCGACCTCGAGGCTGGAGGGGCAGTTGAGGAACCTGTCGAGCGGCAGGTTCTGCTCCTCGTCGCCGGCGCCGGCGGTGGAGCCGCGGGAGCTGGACTTAGACTTGGCGCGCCTGAGTAGCTTGTTCAGCGCGTCCTGCAGCTTCTTCACCTCCTCGATGGTGAAGTCCGGCACCGCCTGATCTGGCGCCGGCGCCGGCGTGGGCTCGTTGCCGAGGGTTCCGATGGTTCCGATGGAGAGCATGCTCCAGTCGCCGGGGAGTTCGTCGTCGGCCTGGCCGCGGCAACTATTCTCCCGGACCGGGGCATCTACGCACGTGAAACGCATGCATGAGCATCTACGTGCTCTTCAGAAAGCGTACGTACGCATGCATGGGAGTGAAACGAAACGAGTGACTTACTGCGAACCGAGCTCGCGCCCGCGGCGGCGGCGGCGGCGGATCGTTTCTTCTCCTGCTTGGTGTTCAGACGATTCTGCACCCAGTTGATGATCTGGAAGACGAAACCATCACAGTCAGCTGCTGCACTACTCATCAGAAAACAAAAGGAAGAAGAACTGTAAAACATCGTCAGCAGCGAGCTTACCCCCATCGATCCCTACTCTCTTCAAGCACAAGCTGCTGGCTTCGTCGGAGGGTCGGTGAATTACCCAGTGAGATTGGCGCAAGTACTGCCAGAACCGCGAGAATGATCGGTGAGCAGCTGATACGCAACTGTTTTCAGGTGCCCTCTGCCTGGCGATGAGCGAGGACACAACGCACGGGGGCTTCTCCTGCGGCCACTACTGCATGTATCGGGACGAAAGCTTGAGAGCTAGCGCGTCTAGTAAAAAGGAAGCGAGTGAGTGACTTGGATGGAGCAAGGGTCCCCTGCCCCCACGAATTAAATAGGGTGAGTGAGAGCGCTGGCGGCCGAATTACATCCGGTGGCAGGCTTACTGCTTGATGTATATATTACTGCAATAAGGGGAAGAAAAGGACAAACGGCTACCTATGTTAATCAGGCCAAATTGCATCCAGTTGAAGCATACATTACTGTTTTCAAGAATCGCCGTTACGAGTATACAGTGTATGCTGTACTTCTCCTTTCTACCATATATAGACTAAGGCAGTGGTGGAAATGAAGCATTCGCGTTAAGAGGGAATCGCACAAATACACAACATTTGGGGCTGAGGTAATACAAAACCTCGACTCTAGGGGATTTTAACAAAAACCCACAATTCTAGGACTAGTCAGTAACAAAAAAAACAAATATTATGTAAATATTGTGCATTTGTGCAATTTGCTCTAGCGTTAATTAGGTGCAAGCAACGCTTGTTTTTCCCTATCTTATCGTGGGAGCTTAAATATAGAGGTGCTCTAACATTCACAATAAATCACGTGGATTTTTCGATCGAGCATGTACTCCCTCTCTTCTTGTTTGTAACTCTAATTTTATCAAATTTTAATCTGGAATTTAAATAGCAACATATAATTAATAAACCGCAAGGGAGGGAGTACACGAGTAGAAATATAGGATCACAACTCGGGGATATGATTGTACCGGTTGTTTTCTCCCTATGTACAAATGTTGTGCTTACTGCTCCGTTCTGATTTTTTAGTGTGGAGTTTTTTTTGTACCCACATAACCACACTGCAACACGAGCAAAAAAATTGAAAGCACCATCTATGCATGCCTCCAACTCAACCGTACACACCGCCGCCAATGGCATGCCACCTCCTCATTCGCACGCTTGTGGCACTTACCCGATTAATCCGCTGCTACCCACATCCCCCAACTTGCAAATCTCACAATGACATGCCCCGGCAGACCATTACAGACACAGGCTACACTCGCACCACCCTACCCTCTCAATCTGTCATGACAAGCGTCCAGAGCCTCCCAACTTGCATTGCCATATCCCCCATCTTGTGCCGCAACTTACCGCTGACCACACCGCGCACCCCATGCAAATTCCAGCAGCATGTAGGTGATCGAGGGGAGGGAGGTCATTGGCAAGGTAGAGCCTGGCCCATATTCCGTTGAGGTCGGCCTAATCCATGTTCTTCAAATCAGTCCCTCTTTGATTCAAATGATTTTTGGAGGATTAGAATCCTTATAATTTTTTTGTTTGGTCGTTTGATTGAATCCTACGATATTTTTCATAAGAAATCATTTGTACTATATTTCATAGAAAATCTAGCATCCACTTCAACTTCTTTTAAAATATCCTTTGTTTTCTCTGTGATGCAATCAAACAAACTCAAATCATGTAGGATATGAAAGGGCATGGTAGTGTTTTTTCTTCTATCCCTGCATTTCTACAATCCCGCAAATTGAAGAGGCCCTCCATTTGGCATGGATTTAACCTTCTGGACTGGCCCATGGTTAATTCCTGCGTCTCCACCTCAGCCCCGTAAGAGTTTTTCATTGAAAATTTCCCGTAAGTGTAGGATCTCTCCTTCCAATATGATCATTGGATGCCATTGCGGAGTTTTAACGGTCTATGTATGTATACCCTGTTATAACGCACATACAAAATTAGCTGGTCAAGGTAAAAGGATCGAAGATCGTCCTTGAGAAAAGCACGCCCCATGCAGGCAGCCAAGAGACTAAAACCGATGGAATATGCACCAGCAGGTGCCCGGTGCCAGCAGCCAAGAGCCTGAAGCCCTGGAACCGAAGCGGGGCGTGCGTGGCGCGAGCGCAGCCGATGGATGAAACCGAGCAAGATCCGGGGCGCGCATACGTGGGCTCACACGGACCCCGCCATCCGGCCCCTAGTTTAACCCAGCTGCGCGTGGGAGATCGCGACGCCCACCATTCCCTCAAAAAATCTATTTACGCCCACTAAACTGTACCCCTCCGGTATTTAGGCGGAGGGAGGGCTTGCGGGATCGGAGGGGGCCTCGTGGGGACTAATTAATCACGTCGCTAATTGTTAGCCCGGAGACTGATGGCGGCCCGGGCGTTCAGGGGGTTAATTAGGGGTAGACCGGTGATTAAACAAGCAGGTGTCAGCCCGACACGATGTGGTCTGGTCTGGTCGTGACACTTGGCGCCTTGGATCGTGTTGGATGGCCCCTGATTGGCCGCGCCACTCGCATTCGCCATGGACGGGCCGACTGCACGCGCATATGTCATTTTCTCGACAGGAAAATTGGGCACCGTACTACTGCTACTACGTGCTCCATGCCAAGCCTCTCCCACGCAGTCGCGCGCATCTTCTCCAAAAGAAAAGGCAGTTGCCCACCGGAAGAAGATCAAGGAAACCATCTTCTCCTCCCCACTTGCCCCGTTGCACGTAGGGATGTAAGTGGCAAATAAATGGCGTCTACAATCCCGTTTAGTTAGTTTTTTCTAGCTTGATAGTTCATTTTTCTCAAACAAACTAAAAATCTTTTTGAACTATCATATCATAAGTGGACTTTAAACGGGATTAAACGGGACCCGGTTGACATCCTAGTTGCACGTCCTTCTTGCGCATCGACGGAAAACATTTGGCGCCGATCTCCCAGGCATTGTGCTTGGGGGCGACGCGCGCACGTGTCACCTTTTTCTGAAATAAAAGGCTCCTGTGCTACTAGCCTACTATTACGTGCTCCATGCGGCCATGCCTCCCAACTCAAAGCTGTGCTAGAAGAAAAAATAACTGCTACTCCTCTTATACCATTTCATAATGTAAGAGCGTTTTTGTTTTTGACACTACAATCTTGTTCAAGTATAGACACGATGTTACTGTATGACCCTAGGGCCACAATAATTCGAAGATACAGGGAAAATGGGAGAGGTTTAACACACAGGTCCTAATCCTCTTATACCATTGACGGCAATGGCTAGCGATCCGCGTCGCATGTTGCCGCTCCGACACACCGACTGCATGCATACCGCCCAAGTGTATTATCGAAAACAATTGGACCTTAAACACTTCCAAGGAAGCGAGTCAAATCACAAGCCACATGACTTGGCAAAGGCGGCGTCTTCCCTGGGCATCGGCCAGCATCTTTGGCATTTTAAATGAATATAATAAAGCCACCGTTCTACTTTAAAAAGAAGTCTCTACCATCTGCTCTCTCCTTTTTGTACAGTACTTCTACAATATATAAAAAAGCTCATCCGACCATTTGGGCTAGTCCAAACTTACACTGACTATCCGAAGTTGTATCATCATGGACAAGTTGTACAACCAAAGACGGCCTGATCATTCTTGATCAAGCATTCTACACAGTATGACACCCACAGGCTTCTGCCCACTCTAGTTATGTACACACCCCGGGCTCTCACTACGACTCGGACCCTCCACAGCACACCTCCGCGCAGCACTCGTAGCAGCCGAGGCACGATAGCGCAGCGCAGATCTGTGCCATCAAGATGGCGCACTGGTCGTTCATCTTGTTGCACGCCTTGATGCAGCACATGCAGCAGAGGCAGTCCGCGACTCGGCCGCAGCACCCGCCCGCCTTCTTGAATATCTTCAACGTCTCCAGTGGTTTCTCGTCGCCGAAACATGTGAGGAGGTTTTCCCTGGTGGCTGCTTTGTCACCGAATCCAAGTTTTAGACCATGAAGCTGGAATCGTAATGGCTCATTGGCGCCTTTGTGTCCTTTCTGTTTCTGCTTGACCTGCGTAGTAGTGAGTGCACAAAGTTTTAGTTAGCAATCTTTATAATGTTTCAACAAGGCATCGACAAAAGAAACAGCGATATGCAATAGAGATCATCTCTAGGTCCAATCTGCCCTCGAAAGGAAAGAAAATAATATGTAGGACCTACTTTTTGTGCTGCATCCAAATTGGTTTGAAGTACAACCATGCTTGTGTACTCTGAAAGAACACTATTCTCTATGCTTAATTTTATCACCTGCAAAATAGAAGAAACGGAGTTACTCAAAAATTATGCAACCATATAATATCAACTGAATGGTTTCAAACCACACAATACAAGATGCTTTGAGCCATAAATGAACTGGAAACTGATCAGCACAAAAGCATACAGCAACAGCACATCTTTAAATGTCTCAGTATCAACAGCTTTTCATGGTTCTTCAGAACAGGGATGTAGACGAAATATCAGCAACTTGTCAAAAACCAATCAACAACCCTTTTACTTGTCTACTCGTATGATGCATGGAACAACTATGTTTTTGGTGCTTCTTCAACTTTGTGCACCATGATACGACAAGTTCTTGTTCTAGGAATTTCTATTTCTATTAAATACAACTCCATGCCCTGAAAGTTCAATGCAGGTTTAAAGCAAAAAAAGAAAAGGCACCTTTCTCTCCAATTGTTTGTCTGCAGAAAGCCATGCCTTTGCTGTGAGAAGAGCAATCTGCTGTGCTGCGAAAATCTGGAAACCATGAAAAGAAATGCAGAGCTTCACAGCATTAAGTTAAGAATTAAGTTAAGTGATGGTCCTAAAGCATGAAATACCACTTGGCCAAAGATTTAAATCATCTTCACAGAATGAAGTTAAGAACTTGCACAAGTATCCTGATGAATCATAAGACAGATGTACAAAGTAGCAAAGTTTGAGCATTTTACGTTATCAAGAGGCATGTCCGTTATATGCTGGACCTTCAGCTCAATCGAGATCTCTGTCATGTCAGCCAAGTAA